CCGGGATATTAAAGAAAAAAAAAGTTGTAATAAACATTTTTCGAAAAGTTCAGATTTTTTTAGTTAGAGTCCTAAACGTAATAGTTTTCTTTGTTTTATTTTTCCCTTTATAAATGAACTGCATTTTTTGTTCTCTATGATCAGAATGCACTCCACTGATCAATTCCTTGATAAACATATTACGAGCTCGAATGTTCGAATCCTGGTGGGGGCAGATGTTTGTGTGCGGAATATGAGCATTTGTACTGAAGTTATGGATTTTTAATATGTATTTTTATATAAGTATACATGTATCAGTATCCCATAACCCAAGCCAACAGTGCTTATTTTGGGGCTTGTCTAATTGGTGTGAGTGTTGTAAATATTTATTTATTATTATTATTTATTCATATTATTATTTTAGTGAAACTTTAATTACATCGCCACCAATTTTAGTCGTTCATCTTTAGAATGTCGCATTACATTATTAATGGTTATTAAAAAATCAGACCTCAACAAGCATCGGTGGTTTAGTGGTAGAAAGCTCGCCTGCTATGCGGGCGGTGTGGGTTCGATCCCAGCTGAGAAAGGACTTTTTGAAGTGAAACTTCTTTACTCACGCTTGACTTGGGGGTAAGCTGGCGAATGCGTTACACGTTACGAAAAGTGTGTTCGGGCTAGGCGAACGGGAGTTGAGTGGGAGATATCCCCCTTGCTTATATAAGCAAGAGAAAGCAGTGTGCATTTTCTTTCTCTCTTTCTCTTATAGATAGTAAATGAAATATGTATATGTTATGTACATGATGATGATGGAGCTAAAGAAGTTTCATGTCATGTGGTCATAAGCACACTCGTTTTTTTAAATGATTTTTTAAATTTCACTCTCATCGCGGTTTCATTTAAACACACCATCATTTTATTTGGAAGATGTTGACAAACTTTTTCGAGTTTGAACTAAGTAGGTAGGTAGGTATGTAAATATCATTGAAATGATAGATTTAAAAGCTGTTGTGATAAGAATTGAAATTATTCAATTAGGTGTCGCCCGGTCGGCAAATATGTTATTGACATAACGAAACACAACGAATAACAAAAATAATTTTACCATTTACTTAAGATTGATTAATCGTATTACATCGAATTGTGTGATTTACCTATCTCTTCTATTATACAAAGTTAAATATCGTGTTATAAATTATACTTACGATACTCAAACGGTATAGTATGATAATTCCAGTTTCATTACATATCTACGATAAATAGGTCACGTTTCTGTAAAAAAGGTTTACTCGAAAGGATTTCAGTAATTCTGCAAACATAGTGCTTAATACCTACAGAAGGAAGCACGTCTGTTAAGCTAGCATGGCAAAGTGAGCAGAATCGTTTAAAATAAAGTGCATCAATTAGTGCTTATTTAGTGCTAATTTAGTGCCAAAACCGGAAATTTAATGCTCTCATAGTTTAGCGAAAAATTAGAACACTGCCAGCTTTTAATTAAGCTAGCAGTGTATTCCCTGAAACGCCTATATTAACGCGGTATAGAACTAAAGCAATGCATAGGGAATTTAGTGCTTAATGAGTGCTGGCAGTATCTGATGAAAATTTTGGAAATTTTATTTTTTTAAATTTTTTATTAATAAAAACTGCTAGTTTGACAGTCTGAGCAAGTGACAGGGTTGAATACATCACTCTGGATCGAAGATTTATGATAGTCAACGGTTAATAATTTAGTGCTCAATAAGTGCTGCTAGTATGTGATACAACATTTGGATTTTTTTATTTTTTATTAATAAAAACTGCTAGTTTGACAGTCTGAGCAAGTGACTGGGTTGAATACATCACTCTGGATCGAAGATCTATGATAATCAACGGTTAATAATTTAGTGCTCAATGAGTGCTTCCAGTATGTGAAAAAAAATTAGGATTTTTTTTATTTTTTATCAATATAAACTGCTAGTATGACAGTCTGAGCAAGTGACTGGGTTGAATACATCACTCTGGATCGAAGATTTATGATAGTCAACGGTTAATAATTTAGTGCTCAATGAGTGCTGCCAGTATGTGATAAAACATTTGGATTTTTTATTTTTTATTAATAAAAACTGCTAGTTTGACAGTCTGAGCGATGTATTCAACCCAGTCACTTGCTCAGACTGTCATACTAGCAGTTTATATTGATAAAAAATAAAAAAAATCCTAATTTTTTTATCACATACTGGCAGCACTCATTGAGCACTAAATTATTAACCGTTGATTATCATAGATCTTCGATCCAGAGCGATGTATTCAACCCGGTGACTTGCTCAGACTATCATACTAGCAGTTTTTATTGTTAAAAATTAAAAAAAAAATCCTAATTTTTTATCACATACTGGCAGCACTCATTGAGCATTAAATTATTAACCGTTGATTATCATACATATTCGATCCGGAGTGATGTATTCAACCCAGTCACTTGCTCAGACTGTCATACTAGCAGTTTATATTGATAAAAAAATAAAAAAATCCAAATGTTTTATCACATACTGGCAGCACTCATTGAGCACTAAATTATTAACCGTTGACTATCATAAATCTTCGATCCAGAGTGATGTATTCAACCCGGTCACTTGCTCAGACTGTCATACTAGCAGTTTATATTGATAAAAAATTAAAAAAAAAATAGAATTTCCTAATTTTTTATCACATACTGGCAGCACTCATTGAGCACTAAATTATTAACCGTTGACTATCATAAATCTTCAATCCAGAGTGATGTATTCAACCCAGTCACTTGCTCAGACTGTCATACTAGCAGTTTATATTGATAAAAAATAAAAAAAATCCTAATTTTTTTTCACATACTGGAAGCACTCATTGAGCACTAAATTATTAACCGTTGATTATCATAGATCTTCGATCCAGAGTGATGTATTCAACCCAGTCACTTGCTCAGACTGTCAAACTAGCAGTTTTTATTAATAAAAAATAAAAAAATCTAAATGTTGTATCACATACTAGCAGCACTTATTGAGCACTAAATTATTAACCGTTGATTATCATAGATCTTCGATCCAGAGTGATGTATTCAATCCAGTCACTTGCTCAGACTGTCATACTAGCAGTTTATATTGATAAAAAATTAAAAAAAAAATCCTAATTTTTTATCACATACTGGCAGCACTCATTGAGCACTAAATTATTAACCGTTGATTATCATAGATCTTCGATCCAGAGTGATGTATTCAACCCTGTCACTTGCTCAGACTGTCAAACTAGCAGTTTTTATTAATAAAAAATTAAAAAAAAAATCCTAATTTTTTATCACATACTGACAGCACTCATTGAGCACTAAATTATTAACCATTGATTATCATAGATCTTCGATCCAGAGTGATGTATTCGAACCGGTCACTTGCTCAGACTGTCATACTAGCAGTTTTTATTGATAAAAAATAAAATATTTTTTATTTTCCAAAATTTTCATCAGATACTGCCAGCACTCATTAAGCACTAAATTCCCTATGCATTGCTTTAGTTCTATACCGCGTTAATATAGGCGTTTCAGGGACTACACTGCTAGCTTAATTAAAAGCTGGCAGTGTTCTAATTTTTCGCTAAACTATGAGAGCATTAAATTTCCGGTTTTGGCACTAAATTAGCACTAAATAAGCACTAATTGATGCACTTTATTTTAAACGATTCTGCTCACTTTGCCATGCTAGCTTAACAGACGTTCTTCGGCGCCAGGCTTAGCAAAACTGGCAAAATCTTCATTTTGAAATTCCGAATCAGCAGTAAGATTTAATTAATTGCCATTTTTTATTGGCTAAAATTCAAAACTTTATATTATTTCTGTTCAATATGGATAATTACCAAAAATAAAAAACAATATCGTTACGGTTGTCTTATTGTTTTGTATTATTCTGAAAACTTGATAATTAAATGTAATTGGACTCTACCACAAAGCCACTAGGCTGTAAGGCAGCACCAATGCAAAATTAAAAGTTTTTTTTTAAACAGCCTAGCCCCAAAGTAAGCGCTGTAAGGCTTGTGTTATGGGATACTAGGGTAACGGATAGAATACATATACAGTACATATATAAGTATATTTTTATAGACATACATATAAAACATCCATGACTGGAGTACAAATGCTTGTTTTATCACATAAACATCTGCCCCCACCGGTATTCGAACCCGGTCGGCTCTCGAGTCGGCGACACCATAAAACAAGGCGTACTAACCACTCGACCACGGAGGTCGTCAATATAACTATAATTGCTATTTCTTCCTTCAAATGATTAATTCTTGCATAGGTATTAATTTGACATTGTGGGTTACCTACAATGCGGAGAGGTGGCGCTGCCTTGCAGCTTAAGCAGGGCTAGAGAAAATTCGACACGGTCATTAGGGCCGCGGCAGCATAACGGTCCTTGCATTCGCCCGGATAGCGAAGGGTGTGGGTTCGAGTCCCGTCTGCTGCCTGTTGCGTGTGGAATTTTGTATAGTAATTTTTTTTTAGATTGAAACATCTACAAGATAAATGCTTAAAAAATTAAAAATATAACTACAATTGCTATTTCTTCATTCAAATGTTTAATACTTATTAAGATATTAATTTGACATTGTGGGTTACCAACAATGCGAAGATAGAGAGATAGAGAGAGGGTGAGAGGGAGAGGGGGGGGAAACGACTGTTAAGTGGATGCGTTATTGCGATATTTCGTCATACTACTATTGCGTCGTTGCTATCGCAGCATCGTGTAACTTTGTCTTTGTAACCGTTCTCATACACAATTCACTAAAAACAGATATCGCAATAACGTATCCGATATGCATCATGATCATCGTGCTAACGACTGCAGATGCAGCCGGGACCAACGGCTTAACGTGCCTTCCGAAGCACGGAGGAAGTGACCAATGGTCACCCATCCAATGACCGACCACTGCGAAAGTTGTTTAACTTCAACGATCGCAGCCGAACGCGGTAACCACCTGCACCATCGAACTCCTCATCCGATATTACTGAGCCTTGACTAATGAGATTGACCTTCCTTCTAGACATGGCGAAACCGAAGCCAAGTAGATCAGACGCAAAACAATTGCTAGTACCAGAATGTTCAGTTTCGGGCCCCCTAGCGCTGGTGCTGCACGTATCCAGGGTGGTGGGAGTCGCTCCACTCAGATTCCGCAGATCAGGTGGCGCCTGGAGAGTGAAGATGTCGATGGCAGCCTGCATATACACCTTCTTGATAGCCACAACCATAAGTAATGATTTTTCAGTCATTTCAATGCTTATAATTCTGTCGTTGTACCGCGAAAACAAAGTAAATCGAAATTAGTTGTAAATAAAAATTGCCTCAGCTTTTCCATTAATCCATTCATAGACAACAATTCCTACACACAATGGATTAATTTAAACACATTAAAGGATTTTCGCAGACGAAGAACTAAGTGCCTCCCGCACATGGAGCTACTCAAAAAGAAGCAAAGTATTCTTTTATGATATTTTTTTCAGATTTGGGGGCATTGATCTGTTTGTTGTTAGACAATTCGACGCGAAACCTTTCGCCGATCAGGCGGTTCACTCGGTTATGGGACTTCTTGCTGGTGGTGGCGATAGCCAGCGTCGTGGCGTACGGCGCACCTAGACGGCTCAAAGAGACGATCTCGTGCTTGGCTAGGATCGGAAAGGTGAATACTGCGATTATACCTAAATACATAAGGATTTATTTAAACATATTTTAGAGTTTGTATATAGAATCGTTTGTTGCTACAGTAGGGATCCATCTTAGCACTTCAAATTAACTTTATTTTATATTTGCATTTATTGTATAATTAATAATTGCATATTAAAGTATCAATTTGGTAAAGCGCACGTGACCGCGAGACATCGTTTCGTTCATCTATTCATTCAGTATAACACTGAACATCGCCGCGTCGATGTCTCGCTCGTGCGACTCGGACGCGCTCGCGGCCGTATTTACCTAAACTAGAGCGTCGCAATTTCGTAAAAGGGCTCTTAATGAGGAGCTCGTTGGCGCAGGTGGTTAGCACGTTCCTCCTGCGGTCGTGGAAGTTAAGCAACTTTCACAATGGGCGGTCATTGGATGGGTGATCAAAACTTAATATCTAGAACTCCTTCGTGCTTTGGAAGGTACTTTAAGCTGTTGGCTTCAGCCGCATCTGCAGTCGTTAGCACTCGTCCATCCGTATAAGGCCTGCGTGGTGGGTCTCGGCTTAATATCTCTATTCCATCGATAGGGAAGGCCTGTGCCCCAGTGGGGACATTTTTAAGTTGATTGTGATGATCATCACTAATAGTAATCTTTAGTTATATTGTTTTTATCTTCAGTTCGTGTGTATGTATGGTTGATTTGTTATTTAAGCGTGCAGGTGACGCTTAATTTGGGTCAATTTACACATGAATGACAACGGCCGGCAGCTAGGCTGTGACCACTTTCACAGTGAAAGCGGTGTGAAAAAATTTGGTGGCGATACTGGTCTTTTTAAGGGTGTGGATAAAGTTCAAAATGATTTAGCATCGCTTTCAGTGAAAAAGTGTTCGCCGCGTCGCTGCCATTCCTGTGCGAATCGACCCTTAGTCAGGTTCTGGGATTTTTATCTGAACTACCATAAGTTTGAATAGTTGAATGTGGACATGAAGTAGACAGTCGTGCTGTGTTGTTACAAAAAGTAAATGATTGATGGCTTTACCTTTTCAGATCAATGCGTCGACTCTTAAAAAGCCCTCGCGAAAAACTGTTTTAAGTGCAACATTTATAATATGTTTCATAATATTGGTCGTGCTATTCACATTGGATTACAAGATATTCGTATCTGGCAGCGCATTTAAATATTCAATAAGTAAGTAATTGAAAATTATAATTTTATAATTTGTAAGGTAGTTACGGAAAAATGAGAAAATAGCGCAGAAATAAAAACGGAATATGTGCTGTTCATTACCCCTAGCACGAACCGTTATCGAATTCGAATAGTTTGCAAACCGAAATGTCAATGTCAAATTTTGTATGGAAACTTGAACAGCAGCGGCGCAAAGTACGTAACGAGAACTTAAAATCAGTACACATTTGGCAGTGACATTTCGGACTCGCAAACGTTACGAATTCGATATTGTTTCGTGCTAAGGGTACTGTTAACTTGCGATAGAAGTGAAACCTACAAAAAATTTAACACGTAAAAGTCCTTCAGCCGGCTGCGGCTTTTTTTGTTATCAGCTATTTTCATTTTATTTGTTTTGGTTATGTTTTTCTTATCTTAGGTTTTTTTTTCGAAAAATTTATTTATAAAAATAATCTGTGAAAAAATTGCATCGGAAAGGATATAAGGATTGTTGATAAAAACCAAGCCTGTATTAGTAAACAACTTAGGCACTTACCAAATTACTCAGGTATTGTAAGTTACTGGGCATAATTAAATATTCTATACTTAAATTGTTTCGAAAAATAAATAATAGCTTAATAAAAGAAAAAAAAAACAATTAATAAAATACCCGAGCTCTTATAGCTATTAACGCCTGGGTTCCGAACCTGGGGGTAATTACCCCTCCGGGGGTAAAACAGCCATACTTCGGGGGGAAAAAGATCCTAATTATTTGGTCAAATCTAAATAATAAGAAAATACTATACAATAATATTACTAAATATAGCATGCGCTCCTTCTTGCTAGCGAGCCCGCGGGGTGCTGAGTGTGGGAAGCGAGGCGAGATTTTCTCCTGATGATGACATTATTAGAGACGAAGATGTAGAGGCCAAATTGGAATTTCTTGGACTGATGATAACATTTTAAAGTCGGGGTAAAATCTGTTTTCCTAATAGGTTACAGGGGTAGCAGTATTGGAATGGTTAGGAAACACTGTATTAACGGGATTGTTACCATGTACCTTGTTTTTATTAGCCTACGATATTTCGGCACTGTTGCAAGCGGAGACTCATAAAAAACAAGGTACATGGTAACAACCCCGTAAATAGCTATAATGTTAGTGATCATGAAAGTTTAAAACAATATAACGTTTATATTTCTTTTCAACATAGCAACGCCAACTTACTTCTATTTCACATACTTCTATGCTTATTTGATGTTGGTGCTGTTCGAAACACAGTACGTGCTAATCGCCTTCGAGGTTGCCAATGCGTTCCAAGAGTTAGGCAACTTGTTCGAAGATACTTCTCGTCTGATAAACGTTTACTGTGAGTATATTTTCGAAGAATTTATTTAGACATTAGTAGGTCCTGCAGAAGACTCCTCCTCACCTGATGTTAATTGACGGTGGAGCCCAGACGCGAAGATAGCTGGTACAGCAGTTCTATCTGCCACACCAGCCATCCTCACCATGCTGGCCTGCATATGGCTTCTTGAAGCCTCTTTTAAAGGATCCCGGGTTATAGAAGGAGGGGAAGACGTGAGCTGGTAAATCATTCCATTTGTAGATCGTGCGACAAAGAAATGGCTCACCAAATTTCTTTGTTCGCGTGGGAATAGTGGCCGCAGTCAAAAGCTCTTGTCACTCGTGGTCCTCTGAAGGAAAAGAGAATGTGGGTAAGGGAGAATAATTTCATTAATAATGAAAACTGGCAGTCAGTGCCGTCTTTGATCTATTGGAGGCCCTGGGCATATTAGGATAATGGGGCCCCTATGACTTCCGTTTGGTGATTTAACAGGAACTAGGGACTTTGTATTTGATCTGAGAGGGGCCCCTATCGATCGCGGGGCCCAGGGCACTTGCCCAAAGTGCCCACTGGGAAAGACGGGTCTGCTGGCATGGCTTTGAATCTTGCTAAGACATTTATTTTCATAATAAGCATGTGGTAGTTGCCTATCACTTATTTTTTAATACTATTTGTTCTTTAGTATCCTACTAGCAAACCAGTGAACCAAATGTTCACCAAAACCTGATATGTATTTAATTAATTGAGAACTTCGGAGATTTTGTGTGGTTTCGTTTGAAATTCGTGATTTCTCGAAAACCGGAAGTGCTACGTTACTCAAATCCGGTTTGTAGTCTTATCAGACTATTCTTAACTTATAACTTAAATATTCTCTTTATCTATCTCTTACGGTTTGGCCGCTGAAACAGCACCACAGACGGACGGACGGACGGACTTGTCTAATAGATAAGAGATAATACAAGCTGTGCTTAGTTAGGGACTTAGAATGAATGGGAGTTTACTAGTTTATTTATGTTGAATTCAGTTTAGGTGTGATATGATCATTTACACAGCTTTTCTGTTTAGTGTCAGTGGACTATATTAACTAGTTTGTACATAAAGAAAAGTTTTACTAGAAAAAAATCCACACGGACCAGCCAGCGTGTTTTTTTTCTAGTAAAACTTTTCTTTATATTTAAACCTCTAGCAGTTAAATGCTACAAAAATAAATAAAAACATAACTGTAATTGCTATTTCTTCTTACAAATGTTTAATACTTGAAAAAGTATTAATTTGACATTGTGGGCTACCTACAGTGCGAAGAGATGGCGCTGCCTTGCAGCTTAAAGCTAGGAAAATTTCGACGCGGCCATCAGGGCCGTGGTAGCATAATTGGTCAGTGCATTCGCCCGGATTGCGAAGGGTGCGGGTTCGAGTCCCGTCCGCTGCCTGATTTTTTTCTAGTAAAACTTTTCTTTCCATTTAAACATCAAGCAGATAAATGCTTAAAAATAAATAAAAACATAGTTTGTACCTTTTTGTTTTAATCGAAGGTTTTTACATAAATTGTTGTGATTCCAGTAATTGCAATTTATTGATTCTCTAAATAAAAACTGCACTAACCTTAAGCTTTTGGGAATCGACAAAATCTTGAAATAAAAGTATCATCATTATTTGTTTTGTTTTGCATAGATGCGTCACATGATGATGTAATCGCCAGCATGCCTCTCAAAGTCGTACCAACAAAATCAGTCAATCAGATAGTTGATTCTATGGCTCAAATAAAGTCTACGCCAGGTAAGTGATAAACCCTTTTAAAAACGACCGTATCATAATTATCAGTACCTTTAGCTAACGGCTAACTTCTTAAGGAAAACCACACACAAATAAACTTGCTCAGTACACGTTATTATAAGTAAAATTCCTAATGCGCAGGCTTTCTTGTCTATGGTCGTTGCTCAAGAAATTTGCTAGGGTGTATACTTGTTATTACAATCTTCAGTTGTTTGCCTCGTGTGATAATAGTATCAATATATATTGAGGAGCTCGATGGCACAGGTGGTTAGCGCGTTCGACTGCTATCATTGAAGTTAAGCAACTTTCGCAGTGGTCGGTCATTGGATGGGTGACCAAAAATTTACTATCTCGAGCTTCTTCGTGCTTCGGAAGGCACGTTAAGCCGTTGGGCCCGGCTGCTTCTGCAGTCGTCAGCACCCACCAATCCGCACTGCGCCCGTGTCACCACACGGTCATAGCCCAATCTCCCTATTCCATCCATAGGAAGGCCTGTGCCCCAGCAGTGGGGACATTAATCGGCTGATGATGATGACGATGATAATAGTACCTCAAAAGTTTTTATACCTAACTATAAACAGTTGCATACAAGACGTTATCTACACCATGTCATGAATCCTCTTTATGTATGTGGTGGGTACCCTTGGATATTTTACAATTATGAAATTTTGGTACACCTCATTATCTGTTTTCTTGATTTTTTCGGTAGTTGGTAGGTGGTTGGAAATGTCCTTTACTGCATTAGAAATATCTGGTGGAGTGTTAACAAAACTTGAATCGCTCATTTTTGTTACCAAAACAACAAAGTGAGTAATTTTTTAAAAACTTATATCGAAGGAAATTGTCGGGAATTCGAATAACCTATTACTTTTTTTTACGGCGCTGTGTTAGTGAAACGCGCGTGAATGATAACGTTCTTTTTGTGAAATTCATACAAATACTTAAACTAAAATACCACACATCAAGCAGTGAGAATGTGGCTGTCTGATGAGTAAGCCCTTGGCGCGGAAGGTATTTAAATAGCGAAAGAGTGTTATTATGAAATTTAGTAAAACATTGTAACACCCGTTTGGGTGTTACAATGTTTTTTTTACTATGAAATTGGATGTTTTAATGTTAGCAGTAAGCTTAGAATAGGCTTAGAATCTTTAATAGAGGTTTTCAAGCATGGATAGTATTTTATTAAATATCAACGATATGCTTTTCAAATTGAATAAAAAATCTAAGACATATTTAAAAATTTTGTTCTTACAGTTTTCTCAGTAACACCCACTTTGGAGTCGGTAAGTGAGACCATCCGCCGTCTCGCTCTAATGTACGCGGAGGTGTGCAGTGTGGTGAGACAGCTGGATAGCTGCCACGGTTTAGTGGTTGTGATGCTGCTGCTGTCATTTTTACTGCATCTGGTCGTCTCAGTCTACAATTTTATCATGAGCAGTACGTGCTTATGATGATATTTTCATGCAAACTTTCATAATTTACATAAAAAATGCTAATTAAATTAGGTGTTCAGATAGCTATGGCTAGCTATCCTTATCTTGCTGGGCTTTCTGCTCCATGGAGCCCTAGGAATTTCTAAGTGGTGTAGGTAAGCAAAACCATCAAAAGGTACTTCCACAGACGGGTGCAGATTAAAGCAGAAAGGGGGTATTAGAAAGCCCGCAGTCTCGACGCGCATTCGGGGGACGTCGATCCTGAGAGCGCGTCTCGAAGCTGATATGAAGCTGGTGATCCTCTTTTTGGACATTTAATCTATATATATAAAACTCAAAGGTGACTGACTGACATAGTGATCAATCAACGCACAGCCCAAACCGCTGGACGGATCGGGCTGAAATTTGGCATGCAGGTAGATGTTATGACGTAGGCATCCGCTAAGAAAGGATTTTGATCAATTCTACCCCCAAGGGGATAAAATAGGGAATGAAAGTTTGTATGAAACTTTGTCAATTTAAAACCGATCGGGCTGAGACTTTGCATGCAGGTATAAGAAGAATCATAGATGAATGTCATTGTGTATACAAGCCTGAGAACAAAAACTGTAGTCTACACTTCAGCTCTACACCGAAGCGAAGCGAGGGCGGGTCGCTAGTTTTCAATAACTTCTGACTGCAAATAAGTAGTTCGATGGCGCAAGTGGTTAGCCCGTTCGGTCGGGCATCCTTGAAGTTAATCAACTTTCACAAAAATCGGTTATAGGATGACTGACCATAAATTTACTCTCTCCACCTCCTCTTCGCTTCGGAAGGCACGTTAAGCCATCGGTTCCGACTGCATCTGCATTCCTTAGCATGGTCCAATATCCCTGTCACATCCGCAATTTCGTACGGACGGTCTGGCCCCTGTAGTGGGGATATTAATGGGCTGATGACATTGCTGGATTGGTTCTGGGGCAACAAAAGTGTGGGGTTCCTAACTAAGATGAAGTTATATTATAGCTATTAACGGGATTGTTACCACGTACCTTGTTTTTTATGAGTCTCCGATATTGCGGCACTGTTGCAAGCGCCATGATCACGGAGTCAAGCTTGCAACAGTGTTGAAATATCGGAGACTTATAAAAAACAAGGTACATGGTAACAATCCCGTTAATAGCTATAATGTTAGTGACCATGAAAGTTTAAAACAATATAAGATGAACTTATTGTTGTTATTTATTTCAGTAGTATCTTAAATCTAATTATGTTGCTGACTTATGACACTAATGTCATTTAAATTTATATTTAATTTTTCAGAGCCATTGTTTCATGCTTGGTATATATTTCGGATGATGTGGTTTCTGTTGCATATGACCTGCACTATATGGATTGCTGAACCGAGTCACAAAACCCAACAAGAGGTTAGTAAGGTATATTAAATTATATTTTATTTTAAGCATTTGACTGTTAGATTTATAAATCTAAAGAGTTTTACTAGAAAAAATTCCACGCCGCTGCAGACGCCTTGCAGCCTAAGAAATACTGGAAGAAACTCGACACACCCATTATGGTCACGGAAGCAGTAGTTTCGGAAAAAAGTGGCTGTGACATACGGACGGACAGACAGGACGAATCCATCAGGCTTTGGATGGCTTTTTTTGGATGTTAACAAAAAGTTAACAAACAACAGATTTGCGTATGCGTAAGTTGGTAAAAGTTTTATTCTAACTCGTCTATTTGACTCCATTGGTCCGTCTAGCTAGCTAATTAGAGATGTTAAGGCAAAAAAAGGAGAAAGGAGTCTAACAATATTATGTAAAATTGATATGAGTGCCTGTAAGAATAATTCCCATTTACTTATTTATTATAATAATAATCTATTTATTTCTCTCAAGAATGGTTACAAAGTCTTAGAATACAGTCAATACATATTATAGTTGATGTAATCTAGACAGAACTCCTTTGAGCGTGTACACAATATGATTAAAATTACGCTTTTACAATAAAGTCCCAAGCAATATTCAAGAGTTAAGCTAACTAAATTTAAATTGACCATAAAAAAATCACTTGTTAAGAAAGCTTATTATAAAGTGTCTGATTATATAACAGACAAAAATGCTTGGGTATGAACTGTTCCAACCATTCCAACGGGTATTTCTATATGATATATATTATGAATTATGTGTTAAAAATACTATAATTAAATTTGAAAGCTGTATATAAAGTTGATAACTTAAGAAATATTATCAGACTGTTTAAGAATATTTGATTGACATTGATTAAATGACCTTAAGTAAATATGTTGTAGTTGGTATGGGTAGTTATGGGTAGTCATGCTCTCTAAATAGTCTCTTCGGCGGTGTCGTGTGAGGGGAGGGGGGGGGGGGTTACGTTCCCTAAAATATGGTTGAGCGAAGCGATGGCTGGTTCATTTAATTAATGTATATTTAATCATTATCATTAATAAATATGACTTCATGAATCATCTTCGAAGTCATTTTTCAATTTGACGACTCTGAAAATAATAAAACAGGGAGAAAAAAACAGCCCTCGCTGAGTCTCTTGCCGGTTCTTCTCAGTACAAGGTCTCCCGCCCGTAGATTTACGAACCGATGGCGTAGCTTCTAGACATTCATGAGTGCTTGTAACAGCCTAAACTGAATAAATGAAAATGAAATAAATGAAATTAGGGAAACTAAAGTATTTGTAATTAAACTTTTTATACGAATGCGTATTTATTATACTATTAAATTAAATAATAAAGCTTTACGTACGTCTCAGTCGAGGCGTAAATATTTTTCTGTCTCAAATCTATATTTTTTTTTATTAAATATTACCTAAAAATAACATGTATTTCATTGAACACTTCCTAATTCATTCACAACATTTTTTATACAATTAAAATAAAATATTTACAATCACAAAACTAGAAAGAAACTCAGTTATGTAGATGAAATTAAAATACTGTAGGCGGGCAGCCCTACCGCGTGTCTACGCCCCGCTCGGCCGTAGGCAGTTATTTCAAGGACAGGGCCGAGTCACAATACTGTATAGATAAAATTACCGTGGCATAGGTATCATTTCAAATGTGGAGAGTCTATTATTGTAGTCACTGAGTGTTCGATCAAAATTGAATTTGCGAGTGAGGAATCGTAAGCAGCGTTTTTGAATTTTTTCAATATTACTGACATGAACGGTATAGTACCATTGTGTAATGTCATGCTGAATCAAAAGTTATTTAGTATTTGACTGTTTACAAAGAACAGTTCCCGAAAACGCCCTTGATAGCCTTTTTTCTTTGTATCCATAGATAGAATTGAGAAATATTTTTATACCAGCTCGTCTCTCTTACTCTATTGGGTAGTCATTCAAGCCTGATTATTACTATGGCCAACAGAACTAGAGATGTTAAGTTTTGTTTTATATGGCATGGTATTTTTCTTTACATTTGCTAAAGCTTTGGTAGCTGTATCTTCTCTTTCTTAGTTCATTACCTTAATGAAAAAGGGCTAAGCTATAAAATTGAAGATTACATAAAAGATAAAAATGCTTGGAATATTATAAATGCCTAGCTCGCATCAATATGTATGATTGTATACAATAATGTAAATCATTGAAAAGAGGCTGACAAAGGTGAATGAGTTTCTTGCGCTGCTTCTTCTCAGCAATAGCCTATTTTTTTCCTAAAGCAGTGGTAGCTATAAAGTAATACTAGGACGTGTAAAAGCCTATTTGAAAGAAGGAATGACTTAACTTTTATACTTTTCGCTTTTTCTGTTGATAGGAGGAACGTATCTGCACACTCGTCAGCCGCATGATTATTAACTCGCCAGACGGAATGTTGTTCACGGAGTTGGAAAAATTCTCCAGATATCTGTTGGTCAACAAAGCTGTTTACTGCCCGCTCGGTGTTTGTACTTTGTCACGCTCCCTTATAGCATCGGTGAGTGTTTTGTTTCTTTACAACATTTTAGACCCGAGCCCAACATCATGAAAATGATGTTTATATTTTTTTTTATAATAACGTGTATCGACTATAGCAATTTCTATTTATACTGTATGATACAGCAATCAAAATGCAGGTAATCAATAAATATATATTTTCACATTATGTAATGAAAGGTTCAAACTACATGAATCATCTCTGAAGTCATTTTTCAACTGGACGTCTCTACTAAGACGACGACTGGAGGGAGAAAAAAAACCGCCCTTGCTGTGTTTCTTGCCGGTTTTTCTCAGTACAAGTTCTCCTGCCGTAGATTTACGAACCGTTGGAACCTAACGAACGACGAGCTTCTAGACATTCATGAGTGCTAGTAACAGCCTAAACTGAATAAATTATTTTGATTATGATTGATTATGATTTCATTATCAACGGGATTGCTATCATGTACCTACCTTGCTAGGCTAAACTACGACTCCCCCCCTCTTCTCCTAGGAGAAGACGCGGGGAGACGAGGGCGACCGGGAGGGGTGAGAGGGACGGGAAGAAATACGCTTCCCCTCCCGTTCCCCCCTCCTAGGAACGGCGGCCCCCCCACTCGTAGTTCTGTCCTACAAAGGGGGGGCGGCGGAGGGTTCTTGGACGGGTATGCCCAGGAGTCCCCTCCGCAGCGGATGGGAGGCGGTACGATGGGCAGTAGGCCGCGTACCCAGCCCCCACGCGCGGGCCTACCTGCGCACGTATGCGGGGTCCCCGTAATACCGCGGGGGACCCCTGCCGTGGAGCCCCGGCAAGACCGGGAAGCTGCTGGGGGCGGAGCCGTGGTAGAATCCCTAACGGGGACCCTGCGGCTCCGCACTAAGCAGTTAGAAGGTATTCGCAGGACTTTTTTAGCGGATATTATGCTGTAAAGTGCCCGTAAGAGTTGCGGGGTCCTCGGTGGTTAGCCACCGGGGGTCCGTAAGACTTGCGGGAGCCAGGTGTGAGGTTCGTTCGGCGGTGTGCCTCTTAAAGGCGCCGTCGTCTGTAAAAAGATTTTTTACCTGCGTTATAAAAAAAAAAAGGCTAAACTACGACCCAATAAAATGTTTTG